GACCAGCTCTTGTGGAGGCTTTGCTGCACTGCACAGCAGCATCAATACAGGCTTAGGTGACAACAAAGAATGTTGTACTTAAGTCTGGGTTTGGAAAGCAAGAGGATGTTCTTTTGCCTGCTCCCACTGGATTGAATAGAAGGAAACTGTGGATTCAACATGGCCCTTGACAATAAAGTCCTCCCCTGACCTTCCCTGGGTAGCTCTGTTAGTCCCATGGGGAGAAGGTTTAGAATGTGATCTCCTTGTGACACCATGGGTGACTAGTGAATGCCTCCCAACGCACATACATGTATCTTGGCCAGATCCTGCACATGGGACATAGATTTTAAAAGGTACCTTTGTTATTTCCCTTTGACCAATTATGAGCTACCCAGTGCTGGGTGCACACAGAGTCTGCTGAAATTCAGGACCAAGCTGTATGAGTATATGGTATCACCACCCAGGGAGGCCTCCGCAGGCAGTTCCTGGGCTTTCCTGGGACTAAAAGCTGGCCTGACTTCTCCAAGATGTATAGGATTATCTGTACTAGTCCCCCTAATTGCATTATCCTTTTGTCTATAGGTGTGTCCTCACCAACACTATTGTGAACTGGGAACATGCCTATGCCAGAGTAGCAAACACCTCTGCCTGCTGCGTATGCTCTGCAGTGCCTGTGAGTCCTACTGCCAGACCACTCAAGGGACAGCCAGACTATGTCCCCTTGACAACTGACATGGCTGGGAAAAAGACTTTTATTGTCACAACAACATGGGATAAAACCGGTTTTTAGTAATCCTAGGTGATGGGGCTTTTTTGCTGTTTGTATGCTGTGGCGGCTTATATAGCTGTTAATGCATATGGATACAGTGCTGTGGCCTCCTCACTAAGGGATCTTGTAGAAGACTTCAAACGCTTAGATTATACAGTGAGGGATCCTAAAGGAGTGGATTTTCAGGCAGGCTCAAGACGCTACAGTTAAGCTCCCTCACTGAGCCTTACTATGAGGCCAAGGTCATGAACATCCTGATCCAGCTTATGTACTCAAGGTCATAAACATTTGCTTGTGAGCATGTACCCACTTATGTAACCTGCTGGCAATGTGCCTTGTTTCTCTGACCTGCATATAGAAAAGGTCTGTGGAAATGGCTCAGGAGGCTAATGGAACTGGCTGGGCTAATAATGAAGCTGGAGCTGGAGGCTGGGGGCTGCTGCTGCCTCTGAATAAAGAAGGCCTACTATTCCAACTGCACCTTGCATCATCTCCCCCTGCTGTGACTCTGAATCTGTTTCCCAGGGTCTGAGTCTCCACCCCCAACAACATCTCTGTCGCATCGTTATGGTCCTATCCAACACACCATCACATCCCATGGATTCTACTGTTAACAGTATATTGTACTGCCACCATCCTAGTCTAGGTCCCATCATTCTTTCTCTGCATTGCTGTAGAAAACTTCTCACTAATTTTCCTGCTTTCTGTCCAACCCAATTGCCACATACTAGGCACAACATACTAGTTATGGGATAAATCTGATGATTTCCTTCCCCAGCTTAAAAACATTCAGCGTTTTTCAGAATGTGCTTAGAAGAAATTGCGAGCCCTTCATTATGCCTTTTAGCTCCTATGTAACATGACTCCTAGTTTCTTTTCTAGCTATATCTTTTGTTAGCCAACCTAGCCATTTTTTCATCTTCAGGGCCTTTGCACATGCTTTTCATTCTAACAAAAACACTGATACTTTTCACTTTGTGTAGTTAACATCTATTCATCCTTTAAATTAGACCTTAAATACCTCTCATCCTCCCCTTATATGTCACTTGAGGTAACCCTTCCATGACTTCCCTAACTTAAGTACAGCACTTATACTCACTCACAGAATCATGTATCTCTCCTTGGTATTAGCTTAGTTTTAAGTTTAGTTGATTAATGCCTGTGTCTCCCTTAACTCAGCAAATCACTCTGTGCAGGTTTTTGTTTTTATTATTTTATTACCAGTTCCTAATATAGTACCCAGAATATAGCTTCTCAGGAAACATCTGCAGGGGGGCTGGGGATGTGGCTCAAGCCGTAGCACGGGGCATTGGGTTCTATCCTCAGCACCACATAAAATAAAATAAAGATGTTGTGTCCACCAAAAACTGAAAAATAAATATTAAAAAATTCTCTCTCTCTCTTTAAAAAAAAGAAAAAAGAAACATCTGCAGAACAAATGTATGAGTACTAGAGTGTCACGCTACTGAAAGGATGTTGTAGGTCCTGTGAAAATATATTAATCTAATAATTAAAGAATGATAATCTAAAAGAATAACCATGTGAACTTAATGATAGAGTCATTAGCTTTGCTTGATTATTTATCTAAGAAATGTGAGTAAAATTCTACACTCGTGATCCTTATCTCCTAATTATAATAGGCAAAATGAAACCAACCTGTCCATCTCCTCCACTACACACATACACAGAATAATTTCAAACTTCAGTGAAAGTATGCAAAGGGAAGCTCAGCTGATCTGTGGGTAAGGTCATGAATTTTTTTTACAAAAAAAGTAGAAGTTGCTCGTGAGATGAAAGGTGTTTCAGTCAGCTTTTTGTTTTTGTTGCTGCTGCTGTGACCAAAAGACCTGACAAGAACAATTTTAGAGGAAGAAAACTGTATTTGGCACAGGTGGTTTTAGAGGTCTCAGTCCACAGATGGCTGACTCCATTGCTCTGGGCCTGAGGGGAGGCAGAAATCATGGGGGAAGGGTGTGGAGGAGGAAAGCACTGCAGGACAGGATAATCAGGAAATCAGGAATAGGTGGGGGAGAAAGAGAGAAAGCTCCTCTCACAAGGGATAAAATATAAACCCCAAAGGCATGCTCCCAGTGACCTACTTCCTCCAGCCACACCCCACATGCCTACAATTTAATTCATATCAATAGATTAACACACTGATTAAGTGAATGCTCTTCTAACCCATTTGTTTCACCTCTAAACCTTTGTCCATTCTCACACATGAGCTTTTAAGGGACACCTCATATCTAAATCATAATAGAAGGCAAGAAGAGAAGAGTGGGGAAGACAGCAGCATTGAAATAAGGGTGGCTACCCTTGAACTATTTAAGTGTCTTCACTCCGCCTTGAGCCAGGAGATTTGGTTTGGCATTGCAAGTTATTTTGTAGCTTGTGGGTAGCCACAAAGGAGATAAGCACACACCCTTAGCCTTGAGCGATGGAGGTGTTGAACAGGCTTCAGGTGGACCTCACCTCCGCTCAGCCTGGGAATGAAGCTCTGGGAGTGGGTGTCACTCAATGAGATGGGATACACCCCCCTGAAACCCAATCCCTTGCCTCATTTGGGTTTCTTCAATAAATAGGATGGTGGCATAGTCTCTCTCTTTCCAACAGACCCTTAAGGTCAAGAGCCGTCCCTGATTCCGGCAAGTAAAAGGTATTTCTGTGCGTTGGGAGCTTCTTTCCCGTTTTCTAGTTATTGATGTAGCCAGCGCTTGTGAACCCAGCTCAGGTCACCGGCCCAGCTAGCTCCCAGTAGTGGCTCCTCCCACTTAATGGATTACACAATGCACATGAACTCAGTCTTTGCTGGGCCAGGGAGAGAGCTGCAGTAGCTCCAGAGTTGGGCGTAACCCATTGGGCCTCCTACCTTAAAAGGCAAAGAACATTCTATGGAAAAACATTTGATGCTTCTCTCATATAAAAAAGCAAACGTGGGGTCTTGCTCTCTCTTTCCAGTGTGGAAGCTCCACCCCTAAGGTCAAAGAGTCGTCCCACCCTCCCTTTTCAAAATTACTTTCTGTGTGCTTTTTTTTTTTTTTTTCACCTTCTTTTCTTAGCTTTATTTCACAGCCAACCTGCATCATGTAGAGGAAACCCAAATTCCACCAGCCCCAGGGACGTGGGTGAGAAAAACACCTAAAATTAAATTTCAATTTGTTAATGTTGCTACAGTATGAATCCTTTTGCCTTTTCAAACCTTCAGTAATGTTTAATCTTTTTATAAGCTTCTATCAAGAACCAAAAAAAGAGAAATCACAAGGGCCATCAAGCTATAAGGGCCATTCAGGAGACAAAGTTTTCCCTTTCCTTGTATATCTCTGTTTCTACTTGTATATCATTTCTCTAACTTCACTTGGTCTGTGCACATCACTAGAAAAAGTCTTACTTATCTTTGATTTGTAGGAATAACCTATCCTATTCCCGACTATTGCAAAATGTCATTTACAATGTGTGCCTTGGTACACAGGGTACTGTGTTCCAGAAGAGCTCCTAAATCCCCCAATCTCATTGCTCCCACCCCTCCTGCTCTAGTCTCTAATTTAGATCTTGATTAAAGTTGTATCTATCTTCAGCCTTCCTCACACCACAGTGGCTCCCTGTAATGTAATTCTACATGTTTACTGGTAATAAATTCATGATCAGGCATTTCCTCTGACCCTGAATGATTGGTCCCAATGTACACAGATTATCCAGATCAAGTCTGGTCCACCACCAGGATTGAGGAAGAAGCTTTAAAAAATGATTGTAAGATTAATTCACAACCAAAGAAATCAAGTGGTAGCAATTCTCCAGAATATCTGCTAATAAATCTACCAGTTCAGTTGTTCTGTAATCTACAAATATTTGTAGTGCTTTTCAACTTTTTAACCTAGCTCTGCTTGTCAAACTTTACTTTTTATAGAGGCCATTAGAATAAAGTTTTGTTTTGCTCTGCTTTGCTTTTTATAAAATTCAAAATGATGGTATGTAACGCTATAATTAAATGTAATTTTCAAACAATGCATCCCTTCCAATCCATCCTAGAGATTGTGATGTGTCTCCCCCATCATACCACTCTCTTCTGACCATGGAAGTTCTTCCATTGTTTGATGAATAATCCCTAGTTTAGACTGGAGTAAGCCATTATGGAAAAAAAAAAAATCTCCTTTACTCTTAAGATTGAATATAACCAGGAAAAAGTACAAATACTTTAGATCATTACATTTAATGAACAATGTCATAAGGAAACCTAAATAATCTGACATACCCATCTAGGAGAGCAATGACATTCTTCCTTGGACGCCCAATATTAGGGCCATATAAGCTGGCTCTGGAGTAAATCCGGATGGGTTGCAAGAGGCTCTTCAGCTGGATGTAATCTTTTCCCAACTGGCTGCCATTCACAGCCCGGCCATGCATAGTCCGATAGTTATTTGGCTCTAGGTTAAAAACAGACATATAAGTTAGCTTTGGGAAGAGCCAGACTCTGCCAACCCTTTCCTGTCCATAGACCTCTGCCTTTTCCTTAACAGAATGAATAAAATAACCAAAGAAAGGAAGTGTGGTGTATCTAAGTTGAAGAACTATCCCAGGAAAGAAGTCAATTTAGCAGTGTCCTCGTACAGTTTCACTCATTTCAAAGCAATCTTCACAAAAGATCACCTAATCCACAAAGGAGACCATGCTGATTTTCAGGCAATACTTCATAATGAATTGTGTCCCCCGAAATTTATGTCTACCAGAACTTCAGAACATGACATTATCTGGAAATAGGGTCCTTGAAGATGTAATCAATTAATATGCAGTCTCACTGGATTAGGGTTGGCCCTAAATTCACTGATTGCTATCGTTTTTTAAAGTTTATTTTATTTTATTTTTTTTTATTGGTTGTTCAAAACATTATAAAGCTCTTGACATATCATATTTCATACATTAGATTCAAGTTGGTTATGAACTCCCAATTTTACCCCAAATACAGATTGCAGAATCACATCGGTTATAACAGAAAGGAGAAGGAAGTTTACACACACACACACACATACACAAGTATACCAGTCAGACCTGTAAACTGCCTAAATGTTGACTGTACTCCCCCCACTCCACAATCCACCTACAATCTACTGGCAAAAGATGGAAGCACAATCTCTGATCAAACATTGACCCACAATTAAGCTATATTGTGATATGCCTTCTTCACACCATCTCTTCTAACTCTGGAAGGCCTGCAGAGATGAGAATTTCTTCCATTGTTTGATGAAGAGTCCTCAATTTAGAGTGGGCTAGAGGGAATACCTAGAAGCTGGCCTTAAAAACGTTTTTAAATGATAAATTTAAAAAATGTAGAATTATCAGTAGCTACATAATGTGAGAGAGACAGACTCTATATATAATTAGTCCATGTAAGTTTCTAAACAAACAAACAAAAAGAAACAATAAAAACATCTCTGGTATGGAGGATTTATAATTTAGAGGTTCTCCAACATATTATCTAAAATATATTATTTTCAACAAAAAATTATGACATGCATAGAAATAGGAAAGTGTAACCCAAATATTGGGAGGAGGAGGACTGTTCTAAGAAATTATTTCTTAAGAGGTCTTACTGTTGCACTCGGCAAACAAGGACTTCAAAATTTCTATTATAAATATATTCAAAGAACTAAAGAGAATAATGAAGAATGAAAGGAAAGCATAATGTTATTGACTTATCAAATAGGAATATAAGAGAAATAAACTATAGAAAAGAAGGCAGATTCTTGAATTGAACTGACTCATCATAAGCAAGAGAACACAATGAGATTAATGGCTGAGTTTTTGCCAGAAACAATGGAGGCCTTAAGAGAGTGGGATGACACATTCAAAATACTGAAAGAAAAAACCCTGTTAACCAAGAATTCTACATGCAGCAAAGTATTCTTCAGAACTGAATGCAAAATTTATATATTCCAAGAAAAACATGTGAGCAAATGTGTGTTATAAGACCTTCTCCTTCCTGATCTTCTTTCCCCGACCTTCTTTCCTTCCTGATCTCTCCTCCCTAATCTCATTTTCTCTAAATCACCTCTATAAAAGCCCCCTGTTCCTGCTTTGGGAAAGCAGTCCTCTATGTTTCTCTTTTGCTGGCAAAGCAATAAACCTTCTTTTTCCTTTTTCTCAAACCCATGTCCTTGTTATTGGATTGGTCTCAGGGACAAGGACCAAATTTTGGCAACAAATTTGGCACCTAGAAGGGACCCCAGAGCAGCCCCCACTCCAGCTTTCTTGGGAAGGCCTGGCTCTCCAAGGAACCACACTTCCATGCTGAGGATTCCTGGTGCTGGTGAACTTGTTGAAAGCCAGCTGCAGGAGAGTTGCCTCTGATGGAACCAGAGGAACTGTTCCTGTAAGCAAAGAAGGGACTGAAGGACCATCCCAGCAGCTGCTGGGGAGTTCTTTTTGCTTTGGAGAAACTCCCACTTTCTCTGCCTGAACAGTACAGGTTGCTGCATCATGGTACACTTTGAGAAAAAGGAAACTGAACTCAGGAAATTACTACAACTTTGGCCATTTGCATGATTCCTGCCATATGTATGCCTTGTCCAGTCACCTGTCAACTGCCACCATGGACCTCTGGACTGCTTTGATGCTGAATGCCCTTAACTATCCATGCCCCACCTGATAGAGAACAAGAACTTTGGGTTACTGCTGCAGTCTGGCTGGGCACAAAATCACGAGCCACTCAAGCAGGAACAAACTTTATTTCCAAAACTCCCACGAACGCCACACACGTGGCCTTCTCCCAGGACACACCACACCAACTGGAAATCCCTCCTCCAGAAATCCCTCCTCCTGCACTTCCCCAACCAATGGGAACTCTCCGAGAATCCCTGGGAGAGCTCCAAAGTAGCAGGCCAAGGCGGACAGCAGGGGTCTAATATCCAATTGAATACACATCTTAACATAACCATTATCATCTCAATGGCTTGCTGATGTCACCTTTCAATCAAAAATGCCATGCATCATTCCTACTTGGCTATGGCTCTCAGCATCTCCCCCCTTCTGTTTAATTAAGCACCAAGCATGTGGCTTAGGGACCGTGCCTGTTAAGCTGTCCAATACTACATATGGCTCTTACCTGTCATCAGATGAGCTGACCTCAAGGCGTCAGCCTCCTGTCTTAGGTTGGTACCACTGCAATTGGATCTTACCCGTCACTGACTACTGGTCCAGCATACAGCCATACTTGTGGATAGGCCTATGCACCAGTGGGGGGGTGAGGTTCTTTGCCTCACCTCTGTTGGCCCCCAAATTTTAGACCATCATTAGCAGAAGGGAGGAGGATACAGAAATGTCACGACACTAAGCCAATTGACTGCTCCTCTGAAAAATTGTACCACCGGTGACACCATCAGCAAAGATACTCCAGCATTACCACAATTCGCTGCACCAACAGATAGTTCACAATGTATACAAGTGATACATAGTCCAGGCAAGTTCTGTAAGCAGTTCAAAGCGGAGGAATCTATCAATATGTCCATTTCCTCCCAAAGTAAATTGACTCCTTGACTGAGCATTACTTGTTGAGTTATTATTCATTGATGCATCAGTTTATACAGTTTACTGTGATAGCTATCGAAGAAGCTGTAGTTTGGTTTTATCTTTGTCTTTACCGGCACTGGGATGAAGATAGGAATTCTGGCAATGATGGCTAAAAAAAAAATATGTAACATTCCAAAAGGTACTAAGAAAACAATTTTCTGAAAAATTTACATTATCCTGAACAGAATTATTAAATATAATAAAAAGGAAAGGTGAAAGTAAACAAATAGATCTGTTAACCTCCTTATTTGTTTACATTTAAAACAACCCTCAACAGCTGTTTACCCAATTTAAATTAAACCATTTAAATCACGTGAAAAAAAATAAGAAATTAAAAAGGAGGGCTGGAGATACAGCTCAGTTGGTAGAGTGCTTGCCTTGCATGCACAAGGCCCTGGGTTCAATCCCCAGTACCACAATAAATAAATAAATAAATAAAATAGGAAGTCCAGATTGAAAGGAAATGCCACATATGGCAATTCAAAACCACACAAATAGACAACATCAGTATATGTAGTTATATAGGTAAATATAAAAGTTGAGAATATACATGACTTTGTTCTTCTCTTGAGTGACTTAAATGACACTTGCACAAAACAAATAGATAAAGTGTTGTCGGTCTTTATCATACAAAGATGCAATATTTAGAATAATAATGGCACAGAGGAGGGGATAAATGGAACTATACTTGAACAAAGTTTCTATATTAACCTAAAATTAAGTTAGTATTTCTCTAAAGTGGACGGTAATGAGTTAAGATGAATTATACCAAGAAACTACTAAGAAAACAACAAAACAAAAAATGAAAGTGGTACTTTAGATAATATTTCTTTTGCATAAGAAAGGCAGTAACAGAGAGACAGAGAAACAAACAAAACATGAGATAAATAGAAAAAAAGATAGCAAGGTGGCGTATGTAAATCAGCCATATAGACAATATTGAATGTAAATTGATTTAAAGCTATAATTAAAATTAGAAATTGTCATGCTGAATTAAAACAAAAACAAAATCCTAACAGAGTGACACATTTCAGATTCAAATAAACAAATAGATTGAAAGCAAAAGGATGGAAAAGAAGAAATATCATGCAAACAGTAACTATCAAGACAGTGGGAACAACTACACTTCTGAATATCAGACAAAATAGACTTTAAGAACAAATGTTACTAGAAACATTGTAGAACATTTTATAATGATAAAAGGGTATCTGGTAATGAGAATAAAGACCTCAATTTTTTCAGGAAGATATAGACATACCTAACAAAACCACCAAAATACAGGAAGCAAAATTGAAAAAATTGGAGAAATAGAAAATTCAAAAATATTACAAGGATACTTAGTACTACATTCTCTATAATGGATAACACAACTGGACAGAAAATCATCTAAGATATAAAAGAGTTGAGTATCATCATTGGCTAATGAACTGCTTGATCTATAGAACATTCTACTGGACAACAGCAGGATACACTCTTCCAATGTAGGGTAGAATATGCTTCCATATATACCACATGCTAAGCCATAAAACAAATCTCATAAATTTTAAAGGATTAAAATCATGCAATGTATATGCTCTGACCACAACTGAATTAAACTAGAATCCAACACCCGAAATTTGAGAAATTTATTTGAAAACTAAACAAATAATCCATGGGTCAAAGAAGAAATCACAAGGAAATAAAAATATTTAGACTGGAGTGAAATAAAAATATAACATAAGAACATATGGGATGCAGCATAAGCAGTGGCTAGGGAAAATATGATAGTCAGAAATGAGGAATGATCTCAAACCAACAACCAAGGATTCTACTGTAAGAATGAGAAAAATAAGAGAAAACTAAATCCAAAATAAGAAGAAGG